GTATTTTGAAGATGGGACCAACATGTTTTCCTTCGGACAGATGTGGGGCATGAGAGAAAGCAGTTAAGAATAACACCAAGATTTTTATTTTATTTAATTAATTAATTAATTAATTTTTAAAATATATCTTTATTGATTTCAGAGAGAGGAAAGGAGAGGGAGAGAGAGAGATAGAAACATCAATGATGAGAGAGTCATTGATTGGCTGCTTAGCCCTCAACCCGGGCATGTGCCCTGACTGGGAATCAAACCCCGATTGCCTGGATCCTAGGTCGACGCTCAACCACTGAGCCACGCTCGGCCGGGCAACACCAAGATTTTTAGCCTGAGCACTTGGAAGTAGAGTTACTGTGGATGGAACAGAGTCGGGAGAGCTCTCTAGAGCTCAGCCTGGTGTGTGTTAAGGTTCCCACTAGCTATCCAGCTGGAGACGTGGAATCAGCAGTGGAGACGGGACAGTGCTGACCTGGAGTTCAGCGGCCAGGACCAGGTTGGAGATAATGAGTTTAGGAGTTATAGCCACACAGACCATGTCGAAAACCTGGAGACTGATGACATTCCAAGTTCAGATAAAGAAGTTCCCAAAGACTGTGCTTTGGGATGCTTCTGCAGGAAGAATGTGTAGGAGCCACTGGGAGGAGGAAAGGCCCAGGATATGAGGTGCCCCAGAAACCAGGTGGAGGAGGGGTGCCAGGAAATGATTAGCTGTATCAGATGCCAGTAGCGGGCCAAATAAAATGAGGACAGAGAAGTGGCCGTAGGTGCCGAGGTCACTGGCAGTATTTACAAAAACCGTTTGGGAGAGTGGGACCAGCAGTCAGATTTCAGTGGGTTCACAGAAGAAAAGCAAGGATGGAATTGTACCGGTGAGTGTCGACAGCTCTGTCAAGGTTGCTCTTAAGGGGAGCAGGCATGGCTTGATGGGTGCAGGAGGAAGTAAAGTCAGGTGGATATTGTTTTGTGATAGAGAAAAGAACACATGTGCATGCCAGTGAGAAGGAGCTGGGTAAAACGGGTTCTCTAGGAGAGAAACAACCGCTGGAGCATTCCCCTCAGTGAGGCAAGAGGGGATGCGATCTTGTACACAGGTGGAGGTTGGCTTTTGAAGGTGCCAATCTCTAATGAAATGCAGCCTTAAAAGAGAGGAACTGCTCCAGTATCTCTTAGTTCCCTCTGTTTGGAAGTTAGTGTTTTGACAGAAGGTAGGGGAAAAAACAGCCCTCCTACTTGCCTACCCATATAACGGAAAAGTATGACTGCCTGGGGCTTGGACACTAGCTGTCGGTGTCATTGTCCTCACAGGGTCTGGAGGAAGGGATCTCACAGATCACGTCTAAGAGCCAAGATGTACGGCAGATGCTGGTGTGGAACTTCCCCATCGACGTCACCTTTAAAAGCACCAACCCATTTGGCTGTGAGTTGGCAGGGGCCTTTTGGGAATGGGGGGGTGCATGGCAGGGGCACTGCAGGGCAGTCTCAGCCTCACCCTGCCCACCACCATCGACACTCAGATCTTTATTACCCATTACCTGGGCCCTTGCACAAGCTTTATAATGTGTTCTCCGCCCTCTGGCCATTTTCCTCCATTTCTTCCCCCTCCCACCCCAGTTCATCTCCACACTGTGCAGTTGACATTTTGGAAGTTCAGAGTGAATCAGGTGGGGCCTCAGCCTGAAGCCTTGGGTAGCTCTGTGCTGCGAAGGCAGCGCTGGCGTCCAGGGCTGCAGGGAGCTGGGAGTTGTCATGCCCTCAGCTTTCTGTCACATGCTCCAGCAGAGCCTGAGCCACCCGCTCCTGCTGTGCAAGTCCCTGAGCTGTGGTTCGTGCCATTGCCCTGCCCAGGACACCTTTCCTACACCCTACCTCTGACCTTCTTCCAAAAGGCTCCCCAATATTTACTTCCTACCTGCTGTGCTAAGCCTGGGTTAGCTCTATGGGGCTGTGAGTACTCTCCCCGTGTGGGCTTGTCCTGTCTGTGGGTAGATCACTCTCCATTTATTTCCCCATAGTAGGAAACAGACTAAAAAAAGATGTTACTTGCCTTCAGCTTTACACCGAGGAGCAGAGCATGGATTTAGTTCCAGGATCACTTGATTTCCTAGTGTAGGCCTTCCTGCTGCACTTGGCCAGGCCCAGGTTCACCAGGTGCAGAGGGTCTGGAGCAGGGTTGCCTGGTGGTCCTGGGCAGGGGTGACCATCCTGTTGTCATCCTCCATGAGCAAGAAGCTTCCATGGCTTCCTGGAACCGGGCACTAGATAATGACCATCTTCCTCTTGCTGAGGACAGCAAGGATAGGCAAATAAAATATTAAAAGGAAAAACCAAAAAAAAAACCCCTTGAAGGCATCAGACAGCTAGTAAAGTAGTGAGTTGCCAGGCCAGGATCTGGGAGCAAACCAGTCCCAAGGGGCCTGAGAGGGGGACCGAGACTCCTGGCAGCCTCCCTGGGTCCAGGGCACAGGGATGGGCATGCAGAGCTCTGGAAGAGGTTGGGTGGGCCTCAGGTAAATCCTGCCAACCTGGGCCCCGGCCTCAGGAGCTGTGCCCTAGAATGAGGAAGGAGTGGAGGTTTACCAGCCCCTGAGATTGTAGCCCAGCTCCTGGCCATCCCAGACCCTGACCATGGTTGCAAAACTCCCAAACAAAATATTTGCAAATTGAATCTAGTAGGGTACAAAAGATGATAACACATGAGCAAGTAGTGTTTATTTTGCAAGTAGTGTTTATTTTAGAAATACAAAGCTTGGGTAGCATCTAAAGTAAAGCAATGTGATTTACCATGTTGAAAAGAAAATGTGATAAAATTCAGTATCTATTCTTGATAAAGACTTAGCAGAATAGGAATAGGGGGAAGGTTCCTTAATCCAGTAAAGGCTATCTACAAAAAACTTGGAGGAAACATCACTTTTTTTAGTGAACTGTCGAAAGATTTCCCTCTGAGATCAGGATGCTTGTTATCACTAACACTGTACAAATAAAAGGTGTAAGGATTAGAAAAGAAGAGCAAAACTCATTATGCACAGGTGACCTGGTTAGAATTTCCAAAGTAATCTACAAATAATTAGAATTGATACATTGGCATGCATTCCATTTATAAGATTAATATACAAGAATCAGTTACTTTTTGTATAAGAATAAGAATATATAAATATTCGATTCTGTATAAAAAGTAAATAGAAAATGTTAGTTTTTAAAAAGAAGTATATTTTTATTGATTTCAGAGAGAGGAAGGGAGAGAGAGAGAGAGAAACATCAATGATGAGAGAGTCATTGATCAGGCTGCCTCCTGCACGCCCCCTGCTGGGGATGAAGCCTGCAACCCGGGCATGTGCCCTGACCCGGAATTGAACCGAGATCTGGGTCATAGTTCAGTGCTCAACCGCTGAGCCACATCAGCTGGGCAAAAAATGATACTTCAAAATGAGTTATTTATAATATCAAGATATAGCTCCCGGATCTGAAGCTTTAATTCAGGGGTGGGGAATGTCCGGCCTGTGGACCAAAATCATTTGGCCTGGCCCTGCCAAGGCAACTGCAGGTGGGACTCAAAATTCAATAAATCTAGTTTTTTCCATAGCTAATTTTTAAGTTGATAATTTTATATGGCCCCCAAATGATGTTATAAATATCCAAATGGCTCTTGGCAGAAAAAAGTTTCCCCAGGTAAAGTGTGGTAACCAGGGCAGTGTCGTTTGACATAAGACAGATGTGCACAGAGAGCCCAGCCCTGTGCCATGAGACAGCGGGCTCGGGCCAGGGGTACTGCCGGGCAGCAGGGAGAGTCTTTCTTGTCGTGTGTGTTTGAGAATATTTGGTAAATGGTGCTGGGACAATCGGATGTGCACAGGGTAGAAAATGGAACAAGATCCCTACTTCATGTTACACATACACAAACGTTAATTCCAAGTGGTCTATAAATGTTAATGTGAAAGCAATCTGAGCTTCAGGAAGACAGTGTGGAGCCCTGGAGCCATGGCGCTGGGAAGGAGACTTTAAAGGACATTTATAGATTTGACTGCAAGTTCAGGGCTTCTAGTCATCAGAAGATAGTGTGGAAAGACAAGTGACAAAATGCACACATTACAAATCCACAAGAAAGAAACCATGTTGTAGAAAAAGGTGCAAGAGACTTGAGCAGGCACTTCAGTAGCCAAAACCAGCACAAGGTGTCAAGCTCTCTTCAGTAAGAACAGATACAGTCAAGGAAAAGGCAAATGGGAGTAGAGCCGGCTGCCCCAATTGCTCCCCAGCATAGCTCCTATTATATTGGGAACAAACTTTGGTGAAGACGTGGAGGAAAGGGCTCAGATAACTCATGTGGAGGATGCGACCCCTTTGGAAAATGGCTCGGCATTATCTTTGAAGACTGAATGAGGGTGAACCCTGGGTGAGTCCCTTGGATACATGCCCAATAGAAATGTGTGCACGTGCGTGACGGGAGCTCGTCCCGGAAGAGCAGAGTCCCTGGCCTCACCACGTGTCCGTCAGCCCTGGGGGACCTGAGCCCTGTGATTGTCCGCAGGCTGGATGTGGTCCAGCCCTGAGAGCAAGTGGAGTCTGTGAGAAACAACTTGAAGGAGTCTCACAGACATGCTGAATTAAAGAAGCTGGACACAAAAATATAGGTACTGTATGATTTTATATAAGTTCAAAAAAGTGGATAGAACCAAAGTACTCGCTTGTTTGGGATGCTTTCATCGGCAGTGAAACCTTAGAGAAAAGAAGTGGTTTCATAAAATTCAGAATAGTGGTTACCTTTGGAGGGTAGTGACAGGAAGGGTCCCAACCTTTCCCTAACACTGAGCACTTCCTCTGCATCAGGCCCTACTCCAGGCATCTTAGGTGAGGTCGTTGCCCGAGGCTAGTGCTAGTGGCTACAGGATCAGAGCCTCACTGCCTCACCTGTCTCCTGGAGCAGTGATCTGTCCTCTGCATCCAGGGGACAAAAACACAGATGGAGATGAAAGGATCTGAAATGTAGATGTAAACGGGGAACAGTTGTAAGCGTTAATATATTTTTATTGATTTTTAGAGAGAGAGGAAGGGAGAGGGAGAGATACAAACATCCATGAGAGAAACATCGGTCGGCTGCCTCCTGCACACCCCCTACCGGGGTTCAAGCCTGCAGCCCAGGCTTGTGTCCTGACCGAGTAACCAGCAGCCTTTCGGTGCACGGGATGACGCCACAGCCACAGCAGCCAGGGCGTAATTGTTAATACAGTGGTGCCTCGGTTTTTGAGCGTCTCCCCTGAGGAACATTTCGGGTTACGAAGGCCATGAACCCGGGAGGCAGTGCTCCGGTTTTGGAACCCGCCTTGAAGTCGAACATGCCCGGCGGCTCCCGCTGAGGGCGAAGTCCTGAGGCCCAGCTGTCGGCTGTGGACCCTCAGTTTTCGAAGGTTTCAGACCTCGAACAGTCTCCTGGAACAGATCCCATTCGGAGCTCAGGTACCACCGCATTTAAAGGAAGGCGCGTGGAAGGCCTTTGCTTTCTCTCTGACCTTTCCCTCAGACACCCAGAACCGGCCCCTCTGGCCTGTGAGTCATGTCACATGCTGGAGTCTTATTGCTTCCATCAGAAAAGATGCTCCTGAGAGAAGCCCTTGGCGCCCACCTTGAATGGGCCTCTCGAGACCCTTCTGTGTTTGTCTAATGACAGAATTGGGGCAGCTCCCTGGCTCTGTGACACTCGGCTTCCAGCCAAGCAAGGGGCCTGGCCACCAGGTTCTGGTTCCCCTCACTACCACCCTCGCCTCCCTGGTGCGGAAGGGGTCCCATGTCTACACCTGCTCTGTCAAGCCCCTGCCCCTGGGGCTCTGAGCACCCTCCTCCCTCCCATACCCAGCCCTTTTCCCAAGTTTCCATCATGCTGACGCCTTGTCCTTCCCCAGGGCCACAGATTGTGCTCAGCGTCTACGGACCAGATGTGTTCGGGAATGACGTGGTCCGGGGCTATGGGGCAGTGCACGTGCCCTTCTCACCTGGCAGGTAGGTACTCTCTACGACCTGCTCCCTGGGCCACAGCCCGTCCCTCACTGAGCCATTCTGCCTTAGGAACCTGGGCGTCCCCAGCAGGGCTTTTCCTGGGACAGACTTTACCTCTAGGCCAGGAATATGCTGAGTGCAGCTCAGTTTGGGTGCAGGGGGACACAGCCCATATCTGGAAGGAGACCCAAGTGGGTGAGGTTCACGCTGCCACCCAAAGACCATGAGGGGTGGGGAGTGCTGGAAGACCGTACAGGGAACGCTGGGGTGTCCTTAGGTTGCTGGATCCACTACAGAGGGTCCCGGGCAGTTAGGGTGTGGAGTTCACTCATTCCTTCATCTCTTCCCTCAGTGCCCTGCAAGCCCTCATCAATGCACCTTCCGCGCCCGGCTCTGCTGGCGTCAGAGGACACAGATGTGTCAGACACATGTGTGGCCACGTGAGCTCTGTCCTCAGAAGCCCCCAGAGCAGTTGACATAGATGGAGAGACGCAGCTCTTTTAACACATTGTATGCGGGAAACGTATTTATACGTTTTACGTTGACTGGTAGTACAGCGTGCGATAAAAACTACCCGCAAACAATGTGTTAAGCACAGTTGAGAGGGTATAGACAGGATTCTGGGGCACAGAGGGCAGCCAAGGTCAACTGGCCTTGAAGGATGGCCATCCATCTAGAGAAGGCAGAGAGGAGGATGACAGTGGTGTACTGAATGCTCTGGGCATTGTTAAAACAGAAAGCACAAGATGCCAGGGGAGGCAGGTAGAGAGGAGGGAGGGTCCAGGAGGGCAGGGATAGGCCCGCAGGCTCTGAGGCTAGACAACTAGGGCGGGTGACCACAGCAGGGCCAAGGTCCAGGGATTTGTCAGGGGCTTCCTGGGGGAAGGGCATCCACAGAGCCTGGAAGACAGCAGAGCATTTGGACATCTGGAGAAGGCAAGGGCTCTCTCAGGGGCCCAGTGGGAGCCCAGACCTCAGGTGTGAGGTCTGTAACCCTTAGCATTCTTCTGACCCCTCAAAAGAAACAAAACTCTCATGAGACTGAGTTCTACAAGGTTGAGCCCAGTCCACCATGTCCATTGGGCCTCCCAACGCTTAGTGCCAAACCCAGGCCCACAGGTGCAGTCAGTGTGGGCTGCACTGGTGGTCTGGGTGCAGGTGGGTCCCTCTGGTCTGTGAGTGCCCCTACCCCCTGCTTGCTGCTCGCAGAAGGTTCAGTCTCATCACTTTGTTGCTCAGCACAACTGTCTGTGAAAACATTTGTTTCAGGCATAAGAGGACCATCCCCATGTTTGTCCCAGAGTCTACATCTAAGCTGCAAAAGTTCACAAGGTGAGTTTCCTACATGCCACCCAACCCTTCTTTCTGACCTTGGGAGTGTAGTAGAGGAGGGATGTCACACTCGCCCCTCCCTTGCACCAGGTAACCTTGCCCAGTCTTCCAGCTGCTCCTGCTTTGGGACAAATGGAAAAGTCCCAGCAGAATAAGGCCATGCAGTTTTACTCTGGACCCTGTTAAAAGTCTTTGCATCAAAGCAGAGGAAAACTTGTCAGCTGGGAAAGTGCTCGTGACATAATGTGACATTAAAATGGCAGGATGGAGGCTACAGCAGTGAGAGCCGAACCATGTAAATAGTGGCCATCACAATAGGCCACTATGCCAGTCAGCTGCTAAAAGCCCTCATGTGAGGAGGTGGCACCTGAGCAGAGGCTGGAGCTGAGGTGAGGGGCCCACGTAGGGATCTGGAAGAATGTTCCAGGCTCAGGGACAAGCCTGTGCAAGGCCCTTCAGAGATGGAGGACTTAGCCTGTGAGGAGCAGCCAGGAGGTGCGTGTGGCCCATAGGTGGTGAGCCAGGGGATGGTGGAGGTGGTTGGGGGCAGAGGCGGCAGCAGGAGCAGGACACAGGGCCTGTAGGGAGAGCCTGTGGCCAGATGTCATGGGAGGCTGAGCCCCAGGCCTTGTGCTTCTTACCACATCCAGTAGGAATGGGAGGATCATTAGGCCCTGGCTGACTGGCCAGAGGTGGGGGACAGAAGCCTCCGTCAGTTCAGCTCAGCTACAAGCCTTTGCTGCTCCCCAGCAGGTCAGCCAGAAATGGGCCCTGGACCCCTGTTCACAAGCAGGACAAGGGGAAATGGGGGACCCCCTGGGCTCTGGGCGGCAGCTGACAAACAGCTCCTGCAGGCCTGGCCAGATCAGGGAGACCTGGGCAGAGGGACAGCGTTGGGCCTGAACTGAGGCCTCACTGAGTTCCAAGGCCTGGGGAGGGTAGAATTTGGGTACTGCCCCTAGAAGCCCCTCAGGGAGGCCACCACCATGGGTGGGGCTGCTGGGGAAGCAGGGGCAGTGCCCATCCTCAGGTGCAGGGAGGGCGAGGGCTGAGAGTCCACACGGCCACCCTGGCTGGGGTTTGCGCTGCCGCACATCCCACAGCTCCAAGGGGCGTCTCGGCCTCCACGTGAGGAGAGGGTCTGGTGCTGAAGAAGGTCGACCTGTTGCTTGCAAAACAGCCGGGGTTTCTGCTGACATCTCCCACCTTGGGGCAGGCGGCCTCTCCTGTCCTTTGCCGGACCTCTCAGCTGGTCAAGGCAGAATGTGCTGGTCACAAAAACTGGGAGAGGTCTGATTAGTAAAGACAGTTTGGTGACAAAATCTTCCCAGACAAGGGGTCCATGGAGACCCCTGTTGGCCCAGCCCCTCCCTCCCCACCCCCTCTGTCCCAGGTCCCAGACATTCTCCAGGGCCCCTTTCTCTCCCACTGCCTCCCCGCTGCTTCCTCCTCAGCCTACCTGGCCTGCCCGCGCACACTCTGCTCTGCCCAGTGCCCGTCTCCTGTGGCCGCTATAACAAATTACCACGAACTTGGTGGCTTAACAGCAAACTGATTTCTTATATCCCTAGAAGCTGCAGTGCAGAGTCGGTATTGCTGCGCTGGGCTGCACATGCGCTTTCCCAGGCTCTGGAGAGTCCTCCCCTCTTCCAGCTCCTTCCCTGGCTCCAGTCTCTGCCTCCGGTCACATGGCCTGGGTGTATCAAATCTCCCTCTGCCTCTCAGGAGGTCATTGCTGGTGGCATCTAAGACCCACCTGGATAGGCCAGGACATTGTGCCCATGCTAAGATTCTCACTGTAATCACCTTTCTCCAAATAAGGTCATACTCACAGTCCTAGGGACTAGGACCTGATATCTTTGGGGCTGTTATCCAGCCCTTGACAGTACCTCCAGCCTAGTCTTCACATAGCAATGAAAAACGTTTTCCTGAAACACAACTTTAGAAACTACTTAGGCACATCTGTGTGTTTAGGATTAACTTCAACTAGAAGGCCTCCAGGCCACATGCTCTTTGGCCCTGCTGACCTCGAGACCTCTCCCCACTCACCTCTCCCTGCTCAGCTCCTCCAGCCTGCGGGGCCCTTCCCTGCTGTGTGCCCTGAACACTATGCCTCTGCTCCCACCCCTGTCCACGAGCAAACAGCCCTTGTCAACCTCAGGAGAGGTGCAGTGGCTGTGGTCACTCCATATTCGCACTTGGGTTGTGCCAGGCTGGTGGGGGCTGCTTCCCTGCCTTGGTGCTCACAGCAACCTCTGAGGTGGGTGCTGTTAGAGCCCTACTCCTTGGATGGAGAAACTGAGGCACAGAGAGGCAGTGACTCACCCATCCAGCCCTGGCTGGATCCTGGGTTCCCTGTCTCCCTCCCTGTCCCCTTCCTTGGGGCTGGGAGTCAGTGAGCCCTGCACTACTTCTCCACACAGCCTGTGAATAAACTAGGCAGCTCCTCCATTGTCCAGCAGTGGGAGCTGGCAGCCTGGTGGGTACTGGTGTCCTCGAGCCCAGCCGAATGTCAGGGTGGGCTGGGCTGGGGGAGACCCACCCCACCTCCTGCAGGCCAGCTGCTGTCCTAGGAGGGCTGAGGGCAGGCCTCTCCAGGGCACAGGAACCTCTGCGGCTCATGGTGCCTCAGTCTTTCCACACGGGAGGCCGCAAGTTGCCCAGGTGCCCCATACTGCACTGCCTGTGAAATCCCCAAAGCCAGAGGCTCCGGGACAGGGCAGCTGCCTGACACACCAGCGGGGAGCAGCGCACCCAGTTGTTTCCGGCTCAGTGGCTGTGTCAGAGGTGAGGCTGCTGCTCTGGAAGGAGCTGCCTAGCTCCTGGGTCTGAGCCAGGTCTGGAGCCAGGGGGGCGGGGATGGCACAGAGGCCCCAGTCAGGCCCAGCTCCAGCACTCCTGTGGCGGCCTCGGGCAAGTCTCTGGACCTCTCTTAGCTGCTGGAGGGGCAAGTGGCAGCGGGGTGTCAGGGTACCTTTGCCCAGTGCTGCGCCCCTTACCAGGTGGCTGCAGTTAGATGGTGCTCGTCAGCACAGCAGGCGCGTCCTTGGTGTCCCAGAGCAGGAGGCATAGACGGGATGGCAGGTTCGTGTTTGCTGTGGCCGTGGGCCAGTGCCTTCCCCTCAGCCCCAGAGGTGGCACCAGTATTATCTCACCACTGTTGAAGGTGTTGGGGCTCAGAGGTGGGAAGGAGCTTGTCCTGGATCCCACAGTGGGATCCCAGATGTGGACTCTGGGATGGGGCGCTTCCGGGGAGGCTGGGGGTCACACTAGCCCCAGGTCTCCCACCCTCTCCAACCTCAGCCACTATCACCGCTGTTATTTCCACAGTTTCAGGATGGGCGGCTGGTGGAGCTGCAGGCCTGGCCTCGCCTCCAGACAGGCCCAGGTGGGGGTGGGGTGGGAGGGTGTTTGAAGCTTCCTCTAAGGGCCT